TACTTTTGGGTATACTTCTGACGCCGTCAACTGTCGTAATACGCTAGCATACACCCGTGGTCGACGGTTGCCAACGGTTATACTATCCACACCACGTTTAGCATACGCCGGCGTTTCAACCAATCACAAGAAGCTATTAAATAACACAGACAATCGAATCTTGAAAATAGGTCGACGCATGCGAGCGTCTGTGCGCGTGTGTTTACACTGGGACAATGATGCTAACGCGAAGTAAGATCTGTTGCAATCTTCAGCTGACGCCGTCAACTGGCGTAACGTTTGCTAGCGTATTAAGGCGGTTTTAGGGCGTCAGAAGAATATACAGATAGCTGAAATTAAGCTTTATCAGCTGCAAAAGTGAATCTTTATAGACGAATATACAGCTGAAATTGAGCTTTATCAGCTGACAAAGTAAATCTTTATAGACGAATATACAGCTGAAATTGAGCTTAATGAAAAATGAAGATTTGGGAGAGAAGGTTTTTCCTGGTAAAAATCTTTTTCCAGTGAATTGATACAGACCTACAGTACAGTCTACTTACTTTTGTCGGAGAATCGAAATTTCGAATTTTATTCTATGGAATTCAATACTAAAATCATAAGGACGTTGGAATTGAACATGAGCAAGGCTATCCGGCTGAGCTATAATACCGAAATTTTAAGGCTAGATGTTTATTGATTTCCATGTTTGAAAAGGGGTCAAACCGTGTTATTGGGGGTCTTGTTATTAGCAGATTGCAGATTGCAGATTGCAGAAGTTAAAAATAAAATCAAAACAACCTTGACCTAGACTTATATACGTATATTTAAATATTGCCTTACTTTTCCTTGGGAATTTCAAAAAACATCATTTAATAATTTCTAGGATCTATAAATAGACAATGGATACAGGTTGAAAGTTAGAGCAAACCAGTGCGAAGCGGGTTGAGTAAGTTAATCCTACCAAATATAGCGCCATTTATATCCGAAAGAACATCCTTCGAATGTTTCTTATTAATCATTTGCTCGGGTTTGTCAAGAATATGATACTCGCCATTGCACACTGCATAGCGATGTATCGAAAAGTAAAGCATAATTTACATAACCTATTAATACCAGAATATTTCATTAAAGATTGGTTTCCTTATTTTTTAGTGTCAAATTAAGCAAACTATTTTATTTATTGGTGTTTCTAATGAATTATCATGTATTCTTAATCATATCATTATGTTTTTATTGCATATAATTAAGAGTTTTAACCAAACATTAATGTCCATGTTTATACGGTCTGGATAAACAAAAGAATGCTCTTTGACCTTTCTTGATCGGTCACTCATTAGAATTCTGGTGGTAATTCTCTTCTAAATTAGCTAATTGTGAATTATTTATGGACATGTGAGACAAACTGGTATTTTTCCAAGTCATTAGAACACCTCTACTTTCTATTCATATAAGTATTAGCATAAATGAAAATAAGGGAACCCATCTTTAAAGTAAAGAAACTAACGTAAACTGCATTCAAATCCCATTCAAATTAAGTGTAAAATGTTTAAATGTAAATGTAAAAAAGCTTACAGTTTTTCAAATTTCTTGGCGGTATGCTGTGTAATCCTGCTCTTGAAAACAGCTTAAAATTGTAGCAGAACTCAGCGAGGACAGCTTTAACTTGTACTGACGACTTGTTGATTAACTGTTGTAAGGGATACATGTTGAATCTGCAATCCCGTAATGTTTACATTACTATATCGATTGATAGGCATATATATATAGTGCAAATAAAATTTAAAAACGGACTAAGGCTAAGCTCTATATTTAAAGGTATTTAAAGCGCAAATAACAATGTATATAATAACAATTACGATTCTTTGTAGTTTATTCCATTGTATTGAAACAGGAACTATAAATAGCCTACTTCGGTAAGAAGTATATATGGAAAATGAAACTAGAACATGACAATAAGCACCATTCAAAGTAAATTGAAAAGAATTAGAATTACGACGTATTGGCACTAGGTCTATCACATGTTGCGTTCGTGACATTTGATAGGTGTCCTTTTAGGAAGGGACATAACTCTAGTTATAGAATGGCATGTTTCAACTATCGGGATTTTCGTTAAACCGCACGATTTTATCGGGAACGGGAATGTGTGGATAAACGAGGCTCCACCGTAGTCTACTTGTCTGCACCTCTTTGGGCTGATAAGAACGTATAACGTCCGGCAGTCAACTCTTTCAATATCGAAGGATCTTTAACATGCACATGGGCCCTCGGTTTATTGTCCCAGCCGAACGATAAGACGGTTTTTCCAAATCATCTCCTCCGACCAGCGTCACTGACTTCTGACAAAACAGAAGGTACTATCTCGACCTATATCGGGATTTGAACCATTTACCTTCAGGTTGGCTAGCAAGTGTCCAATTCACTGACCCATTTGGCTCCATCTACATGAATATTCAAAGTCATTTCAAGTTCACCGTTACGCATATATATTAGCGATGATCTAATTGGCGATAAGTGATTAAGATGAGTAGATGTCGGATTATCCAGATTTTTCTGAGTGTCGGGATCACTAATTAGTGTTGTAATTCGGAATACACAGAGTGTCGGAGTACTCAGAGTTTTTTTTAAACTAGCCTAAGAAGGAAATCAATCGGGACTAGAAAATGATGTCTTATTACGCAGAATGTCGGAATACTCAGATGTCGGATATCACAGAGTACACTGTATATACAAATACATGTATATATATACCAATATCTTCTTGCTCTATTTCCTTATTCAAAGATAAATGAAAACCAAATCCTGCAACAGGTCCTGTGTACGATCATCCCAAAGTTTCCGTTATCGTTTACATGAAAGTCGTTTTTCCCCTCAAAATATGCGATATTACAAAATTCCCGAAAACAATCCACTTTGGAATTCCCAGATGCTGTCTTCAGTTAACCCAATGTTTTTGTGGACGATGTCTTCTCAGCAATGCCGGGAGCCGCGGTGGCTCAGTGAGTTAGACGCTTGCTCGCTAATCTGAAGGTCCAGGATTCAATCCCGACATAGGTCGAGATGATACCTTCGGATTTTTCAACCCGGTTTTCCCCTGTCAGTGATGCAGGTAAGAGGGGCTGACATGGAAAAAGCGTCTAGTTTTTCGGATGGACAATAAACTGAGGCCCCGTGTGCTACAGGCTGTGCACGTTAAAGATCCCTCAACCGTTGGAAATCGAAAAAGAGCAGGCTAATGCCGCTGTCCTGGCAAAATATTCCTGCATGGCGTTGTCCGTCTTCATTAGCCCACATGGTGCAGAAAAGTAGGACGTAAAACTCCATTCATTTCATTTCTCAGCAATGCCTGAGACGCTTCGGCACCAAAAGATTCTAAATATAGGCTACTTACGCTTAAATAAGATGATGAATGAAACACGACCCAAAGCTGAAGATCAAACAAGTTTTATTAAAATAGGTCAAAACCACGCCCACAAAATATCAAAAATCACCTCCAATCTTGATTCGATAAAACATAATCTACATTGTATACTAAACACAACTTAAATTGTAGTATCGTCTTCATATTTAAAGTGATACTACGTCTTAGAATTAATATAAAATTTAAGAATTTTAAACTTGGCGAATAAGAGCCAGTAGATATACCTGGTGTCATAAATAACATAACAGGATCCTTATATAATCTGATAAATCCAAAAAAACGTAGTAATTATCCATAAATATGTAATTAACTATTGAAAAACGCTTAATATCAAGATTAAGCGTTTTTCAATAATTACTTAGTTTTATGAATTTTCCAATTTTCTAGATTTTACAGGGATTCTGTTGTAACTTTATGTCACCAGGTAAGTTCACTGATGAATATATACTCATATTGACCTTTTCGAGAACTTAAATTTTATATTCATTCCAAGACTTAGTATCACTTTAATTTATTAGTTTGTTGCCCATATTCCTTGGGTGTGGGGTGGAAAGGGGGCAGATTGTGGGGGTCAGTGATTGCTTACTTCGATAAGTGGTTATCTTTGTGGCTTACAATCGCATTACCGAAGTAGATTCTTTACGGAAACTGTCGAGAATTACCGAATGTTCCAGACTCTCGTGTGCAGTTATGACTGATTACGTCCTAATATCGGTTATATCTGAAAGTGTGGATAATAAAGCACCTGAAGTGACAACAGTATTTTTTTTTAGACTTGAGTTGAGTCGGATATCAATTCTGTTATGAAGTGACAAGGCCAATATCTTGACGACTGTATCCCTTTAAAGATGGGTTTCCTTATTTTTTAGTGTCAAATTAAGCAAACTATTTGATTAATTGGTGTTTCTAATGAATTAGCATGTATTCTTTATCATATCATTATTTTCTTATATTGCATATAATTTTAGCTTTAACCAATCATAAATATCCATGTATGTACAGTCTGGATAAACAAAAAAAGACTTTTTGACCTTTTGTGATCGGTCACTCATTGGAATTCTGCTGGTAATTCTCTTCAAATTTAGCTAATAATGAATTAATTATGGACATGTGAGACAAACTGGTATTTTTCCAAGTCATTAGAACACCTCTACTTTCTATTCATATAAGTATTAGCATTTTGATTTTCATAAATGGAAATGAGGGAAGCCATCTTTAAATAAACTATGAAATTTTCAAGTGTGTACGTGATAAGATTGAACGGAAATTATTTTGTTTACGCTATAAAGAAAAGTAATCATTCAATGACACAGAGATTTACTTGAAAAAGCTAAATGGGCCCTATATTTAAGCTTGACCCTCTCTTCATCTATCGCCGAGTGACCACTGTTATCATTCAGTCAGGACACTTGTTGTGTTTACTTATCAACGTACTATTTAAAGTGGAAGATGGTCATTCTGTCTCGACCATTTTAAAATTTATAAAGATCTTTACCGCCCCACAAGGCCGATCCATGCTGAAAAAAAAATAGGAAAACTGATTAGTAGTCTGATTCCTGATCATGGGAGATAACTCGCTATTTGTTTACTTCCGGATTTTGGTACAGCATGGCGCAGAGTGCAGGCGACTGGTGTCTGATAGAAAGCGATCCTGGTGTTTTCACTGAATTAATTCGAGGTTTCGGTGAGTAAAGGGAGTCGTTTTTGTTTAGAGCCGCTTCTATGTTTGAATACATCACAATTTTTTATACTGACCTTTAAACTTATCACGACTCTTTATTATCTTCGGCGAGACAACTCTAACCACTTCAAGAAAAAGATGCAGACGGACTCTGGATTATGAATTCTTTTCATGACATTCTGCTTTTTACAGCTGTCTATCAAAGATGGAAATGACCCGCATTTTTGGAAGTCTCAAAATCTATTCTGTAGAATCCTATCAACATAATACCTTTAACATTGTCATTGGTATTTTCGTCAGCCCAACAAAGACAATCAAACTTTAATATCAAAGATTGTCAGTAGTTTGACAGAGTATTGGTCTTGAAAGCAAATACAAAAAAAAATATCAAGATTTGAAAACTAATATTACATTTTAGGCTGTAAAGGTGTTCAGGTAGAAGAACTATGGAGTTTAGATCCAGAAAACTTTGCTAACCTCAAGTAAGTTGTATTTACTCTTAGTTTCGGAATTCTTAAAACTTCATTTCATCATCCAAGGACTGTCAGTACTATTTTGAATTTTATGCTCCAATTCACATTAAACCTAATGGGTAAGGTTTGGTTTGCTGTCAAGTGTGCACAGACAAACATTTTTCAGAATTTTTGTACATTTCTCGGGACAGGATGGCTGCTAAGCTTTTGCAAGTCTTTTTAAAACTTTTTAAAGGAACTTGAAAGAGGTTTTCTAATTTTTTTATGTGTATCATGGACATTGATAACACCAACTATCACTGCCACTAAAGATGGGCTTCCTTATTGTTTAGTGTCAAATTAAGCAAACTATTTGATTAATATGTGTTTCTAATGAATTATCATGTATTCTTAATCATATCATTTTGTTCTTATTGCATATAATTAAGAGTTTTTACCAATCATAAATGTCCATGTATGTACAGTCTGGATAAACAAAAAAAGACTTTTTGACATTTCTTGATCAGTCACTCTGCTGGTAATTCTCTTCTAATTTAGCTAATTATGAATTAATTATGGACATGTGAGACAAACTGGTATTTTTCCAAGTCATAAGAACACCTCTACTTTCTATTCATATAAGTATTAGAATTTTTATTTTCATAAATGAAAATAAGGGAATCCATCTTTAAGATATAAGCTTACTGTCCAAATCTACATGTAGACACAATCAATAATTTTTATGCTGTTTTGCAGGCCTGTTCATGGGTTGATATTTCTATTTAAATGGGTTCCAGACAAGGAACCGGACGGTTCTCTAGTGGCTGATAGCAGACTTGATAAAATCTTCTTTGCTAAACAGGTATTCTTTCTTATTATGAGTGAGGGTTGTAGCTCATTTAATTAACAGTAAGAAGTCTGGTTTGATCTGAGACAGTATTGTCAAACTATTCAATCTGCTTTCCCCAGGACTAACTTATAAAAGAACAATTATTGGCCCTGTGAGTGTCCCTCATTGCACACTTCATGACATTACCTTACCACTTATCATTAGCCCATTTCATTTCATACCATTTTCCATAATGAGTTAATGCCCTTGATTTGATATTTTACTCTGACTAACAAGGCCTGAATTTTTAAATTCCTGTATTGAAATATTTTCCCCTATTGCATACTTCTTGTCATTGCCACTGATCATAACCCTAATTAGGGATAGGAAAATTGTTGTCTTGTTGGCCCTGAATGAGTTATTGCCCCTGAATTCAATATGTTAATTCCAGGTTATCAACAATGCCTGTGCCACTCAAGCTATAATTAGTATCTTATTAAACTGTTCACACCAAGATGTCGAGCTTGGAGAAACACTGAAGTCTTTTAAAGAATTCTCACAAAGTTTTGATCCTGCGGTAAGTTATTATGATTGTCTTAACTCAACTAATTAGAAATTTTATATGAAGAAAAAAAAAGGTTTTCATGTGTAATGTAGATACCTATATCTTCTATTTACACCATTCTGATTTGTCTTTGTATGTATATCAGAGATACTTATAGCTTCTATTTACACCATTCTAATTTTCTAGTCTTTGTATGTATATCAGAGATACTTATAACTCCTATTTACACCATTCTGATTTTCTAGTCTTTATATGTGTATCAGGCACTTATAGCTTCTATTTACACCATTCTGATTTTCTAGTCTTTGTATGTGTATTAGACACTTATAGCTTCTATTTACACCATTCTGATTTTCTAGTCTTTGTATGTGTATTAGACACTTATAGCTTCTATTTACAACATTCTGATTGTCTAGTCTTTGTATGTGTATTAGACACTTATAACTTCTATTTACACCATTCTGATTTTCTAGTCTTTGTATGTGTATTAGAGACACTTATAGCTTCTATTTAAACCATTCTGATTTTCTAGTCTTTGTATTTGTATCAGAGACACTTATAGCTTCTATTTAAACCATTCTGATTTTCTAGTCTTTATATGTATATCAGCGACACTTATAAGTTCTATTTACCCCATTCTGATATTCTAGTATTTATGTGTATCAGAGACACTTATAACTTCTAATGTGAAAGTTATCGTCATTGATATTTCAGCTTCGAGGCTTAAGTTTAAGCAACTCAGATGTTATTAAACAGGTCCACAATAGTTTTGCCAGGTAGGCTTAGACTTATACTTTTGTATACAGCAAGATAGCAGCCAATAGGTTTGATGTGCTTGGACTCTATTCATCATTGCTGTCTCGGTAGACATTTATAGCTTGATGAACTTAAAGCTATCATGATAGAATGGGTGGAATTGTGATTCTGTAGGCACTGTGAATAGCTTGTATAACTTTAAAAGGCCAAATGTGGAATCTTTGCAGTAGACATTTGATTTTTTGGATGGTTACAATTTTTTTCAATTGAGATTCAATTTAGTCCTTTAAATATTTGCCTTTACAAGTTGAAAAAGCTCAATTTCAACTACCTGTATAATCATCTTAATATTTGTATTTATTGGTTGCAAGAGCTAACTTTCAGCTATCCATGTCCCTTTTCAAAGTTTAAATCTCATTCTGCGTTTGTCTACAATTCAAGTTTTGACATTCCATTTATGACCAAAGATATCTCTTATTTATTTTGATTCTATCCCAAAATTTTCAGACAACAGATGTTTGAGTTTGATGAGAAACAAGCCAAGAAAGATGATGATGTCTTTCATTTTGTGGGTTATTTGCCCATAGATAATAGGCTGTATGAGCTGGACGGTCTGAAAGATGGACCAGTAGATTTAGGTATGTGTCTTCTTCATTGTGGGTGATTGGGGCTGTCATGAAAAAAAAGGTAACCAGTAGTTTAGTTAGTATTGACACAATACATCGTGGGTGACAGCTTGAAACTTCGTATAACGATATATGATGCGGAATTACTTTTCGAGAAAAATGCAAAAAACTATTTGTACGTGTATTTTGTTAAAATCTTTTTTATTATTTTTTTTACCGCTATACGTGGTTTTCATTCTTTGAAAATATAAACCTCGTATAACAATTTGAGTTCTCCATATTGAACCAAAAACTCGTATAATAATACAGTATATGAGGTTTTTCATTTTCATCCCAGAAAAAAGAACATTGAACCTCGTATAATAATATATTTTACGAGGTTTTAAATCTGACTGTTTATATACGTGTTATTTAATTAGCGCTTTTTGAGTTATTTACAATCAAGCTAAGAATACGAGGTTTTGATCACGAGATCTGCACTTTTACGAGCTTTCAAAGGTACCAAAAAGTCAAAATGACCAAATATGGCATATACGAGGTTTCAAGCGGTCACACACGATATCTTTTTTATCCCATTACTGCATATCATGATACCTATCGTATGTTCTTATATTAAAGGTGCAATCCCCTCCGAAACAGATTGGTTAGATGTAGTTAGACCAGTTATAGAAAAAAGAATGCAGAAGTAAGTCATATTTTTTATTTACCATGATAGACCTGTTCATAAGGCCATACAAAATGGTCTTTTTTTACAGGCCTTTTTTTTCAAAAATCGTGGTGAGATGGCGAATTTATTATTTATAAGCGCTTTTTTTTAGATTTTCAACTGGAATAAATTGGAGCGAGCCAAAGCATTTATTATTTATTACCACAAATTTAATGTACATTTAATATTAAGGCAACAATCAGGTATTTTTGGGCCTGTAAAACAACTATTTATTTTGTATGGCCTAAGTGATTTTATGAAATCTAGAATTTTTTAGGAGAATTTTGGGGTTCCAATTTGAGATCAGCAAACACATCGTCCCTTTTCTTCAGAGAGGGGAAGGAGAAAGGTGAAAATTCTTCACCTTGAATTTAAATTATATTATTATGCTGTTTGTGTTTGGCAACTTGGCATCTCCTTTCAGAGAATTCAAATGGCTAAAACTGTTGATGATTATCTTGGTTTGTCCAATCATTCTTCTCAGTTTTTATGGAAATGTGGACGTATATTGTCGTCGGCCCTGTCTGTCGGTCCGTCAACATTTCTTGTGAACACAATAGAGACTACAGTTTTTATCTGATTTTAATGAAACTTATGTGATAATGTATATTCATGAGATCTTGGTCAAGTTCGAATTGGATGATTTTTCGATGAACATTTTTTGAGTTATTGCCCTTGACTTAAGAAAAATGTGTCAAAATTTGTTTGTGAATACAATAAAGACTACAGTTTTCAACTGATTTTAATGAAATTTGGTGTGATCAATTATATTGATGAGACCCTGGTCAAGTTCGAACTTGACAATTTGTCGATGAACTGTTTTTGAGTTATTGCCCTTGACTTTAAAAAATGCGTTAAAATTTGTATGTGAACACAATAGAGACTACAATTATCAACTGATTTTGATGAAATTTGGTGTGATCATTTATATTGATGAGATCCTGGTTAAATTCGAATTTGACAATTTTTCAATGAACGGTTTGTTAGTTATTGCACTTGACTTAGGAAAAACGCGTCAAAATTTGTTAGTGAACACAATAAAGACTACAGATTTGAACTGATTTTAATGAAATTTTGTGTGATCATTTATATTGATGAGATCCTGGTTAAGTACGAATTTGACAATTATTCGATGAACGGTTTGTGAGTTATTGCCCTTGACGCGTTAGAATTTGTTTGTGAACACAATAGAGACTACAGTTTTCAACTGATTTTAATGAAATTTGGTGTGATCATTTATATTGATGAGATCCTGGTTAAGTACGAATTTGACAATTATTCGATGAATGGTTTGTGAGTTATTGCCCTTGACGCGTTAAAATTTGTATGTGAACACAATAGAGACTACAGTTTTCAACTGATTTTAATGAAACTTATGTGATCATTTATATTGATGAGATCCTGGTTAAGTACGAATTTGACAATTATTCGATGAACGGTTTGTGAGTTATTGCCCTTGACTTAGGAAAAACCTGTTTTGTTAGTGAACACAGTAGAGACTACAGTTTGTCAATTCATAAAATCATAATGTTTAATTTTTTTTTTTTTAGATATAGTAACGATGAAATACATTTTAATTTAATGGCCGTGGTTTCTGATAAGAAGATGTCGTATGAAAAAAAAATGGCAGAGTTATCAAAACAAGCAGAGGTTTGTCCAACTTTTCTTTATTGTTGTAAAACAACAGTGTTTGGCTTTTCAATATGGACATGAAAGAGTACATACTCTTTGTCAAAATTCATCAGCTTTGCCATTTTTTTGATCAATCGTACCTTAATCTCAGAAACGAGAATCTTTAGCCAATTAGAAATAATATCGTGGGTGACCGCTTGAAACCTCATATATGCCATATTTGGTCATTTTGGCTTTTGGTACCGTTCGAAAGCTTGTAAAAGCGCGGATCTGATAATCAAAACCTCGTATTCTTAGCTTGATTGTAAATAACTCAAAAACCACTAATTAAATAACACATATATAAACACTCAGATTTAAAACATCCTAAAATATATTATTATACGAGGTTCAATGTTCCTTTTCTGCTGATGAAAATGAAAAACCTTGTATACTGTATTATTATACGAGTTTTTGGTTCAATAGGCCGAAGATCTCAAATTGTTATACAAGGTTTATATTTTCAAAGAATGAAAACCACGTATAGCGGTAAAAAAAATAATAAAAAAGATTTTAACAAAATACGTACCGGTACAAATAGTTTTTTGTGTTTTTCTCAGAAAAGTAATTCCACGTCATATATCGTTATACGAGGTTTCAAGCGGTCACCCACGATATAGTAATCACAGCTCAAATTTAAGCCTTTAAGTCAGATTAATCCGCGTTTGAAAGTAAAAATAACGACTCTGTTTTTCCTGAAAAGACGTATGTATATAGAAATAGAAAGTGACTACCTAGTTTGAGATATTGTCTATAAGCAAAATTCAAATTTTACCATTGTGCATACTTCCCCTTTAATATTGCTACTAGTAATAGACAAAAACAGACAAAATTAAGGACTGCACTAGAAGATACTTTGAAAAAATGAGGAAATCCACCAATTACCGTAAGTGTGTATAATGCTCACCCCTTCCTCACCCCATCAAAATCTGGAAAAATCCATTTACCCGTATATAATGCATATCCCTTGTTGACGAAAATTTTAAGTTGGAGATGGCATAACGCAGACACCAAAATAGTGAGTGATAACTAGGCATATTCCAGTATCACCTCACTTAGACTAACGACTAACATGAAAATTTTGTACAATATTTCTTTAATGCAATCCTCATTTTTACAATGTATAATCTTCAAAGTCATTTTAAAATTAACCATCATTTGTTATTTTTTTTCCCGTGACAATGAGTCTAAGTTGTCAAAGTCACACACGTATGAATCTCGATTAATAAGACAAAACTAAGCATTAAATGATTGAGGTTTAGATATATTTATATGTTAAATAATCAAAAACTGTATTTACAGAAATGAATATCTTTAAGTCTGTCTTCTCATATTCCCATAAATAGGAATTTTAGTATCAACTGCCCCATGAAAGTAGATGATCATAAACTAATTCATTCATTCATTATATTCCTGATGACGGTGTGAGAACCACATTGAAAGTAAGAAATATTCTAGAAGTATCCATCTTTAAATCGTCTTATTTATCTATAACTCGCGCTTCATAAATCTAGTAAGTTTTGCGTGTTATATTTTCTAGTCCAGTGGAATGATGACTGATAATGTACAATCAGAGATAACAAAATTAAAAATGTTAATAGCTGAAGAAGAAGACAAAATGAATCGATATAAGGTCAGTAGCCAAATATGGTAAGGGTGCGGGTCTTGTCAAGCGTTCCACCAACCGGTTGCGGACACACAACCAAACAAAAAATCTCCAGTTGGTCGTTTCCCACTATGTGAACATTCACATGCGGGTAAGGCAATTGAAAGGAAAATGAATCTTGCAGACGATAAAACAATCAGTGACAAAAATCAAGCTTGTTTGATATGATAAATCTAGTGTTGAAACGGTTAGTGAATTTTACAAACCGGGTAACCGTCGGCAATAACCGTTTGTTACCCGGATAATTACTAAAGATTATAAAAGGAGTCAAAAACGGCATTTGCGGTGGTAACTCACCGTTAACTAAACTAGAGTAAGTGTAAATGAACACCCAGGAAGATTTTGGATAGTTCCCCATGAATGATCGGTACAAAGCCTCTGCTTCAATGTAAGATTATGAGCGGGCCTGACAGCGCTCAAGACGGACTGGCGCCATTCTCACTCATTGCTGCAGTTTCTAACAGATCAAAGGTTTTTATACCAGTTGTGGGGTCAGTGTAATGAGTGTATCTCATTGAAGTCGCCTCGAATCAGCGTACTGGTTCCACGACTGGTATAAAACTATTGTCTCAATGAATCCGTACTCATGCATATTAATAAGCTTGAAGCTGATTGACAATCAAGAAGAAACAAACAGCCAATGAGATGAGAGTTAATAAAAAGTAATACGATCTTTATAACTGTTTTATTCTAAGCAACTCGTACCCGATTGAAATAATAAAAATAATAACAAAACTTTTTACTTCTTATAAAATTGACGGTTAACCGATAATCTCAAATCAGACCCTCTTACCTGTGAAATACTAACCGAAATCGGTTAACTGATTAACTGTTTTAACACTATATAAATCCTGTCTACCGTGCGATAATCTTCTTGTGGAATCACAGGCATCGCACCATTACAGAACTCAGCATTTAAGGAAGTCCACATGGCTAATAATATTTATTTGGTATATTTTATTTGACCTTTCACAAAGTCTGCACCCAAGTAAAATATTATGTACTGTCTGTGGGAGCTTTGAGGTCTTCCTTTAAGGCTTTAGTATGCATGTTGAAGGAGTTGTTTTGTTGTTGGAATGACATGAAAATCCCCGGCTACCGACTGTCCAATATGATATAGTTGATTCATTTTTCATTTCAGAAAGAAAATATACGAAGGCGACACAATTATCTACCTTTTATCATGGAGTTATTAAAAATCTTGGCCAAAGAACAAGAGTTACTGCCCCTCATACAAAAAGTAAGTTAGAAAGTTATGAAGTCTTACAAAGTTAAGTTATAAAGTTTTTCATTATAATTAAGTTTTACCTTGTATGTAACACATTTTTTTACATTAAAAGTGAGTTATGAACTTTTTCATTATAATTAAGTTTTACCTTGTAAGTAATAATTTTTTTTCATTAAAAGTAAGTTATGAAGTTTTACATTATATGTAAGTTATGAAGTTTTACATTATGATTATGTTTTACCTTGTAAGTAAGTTAAGAAGTTTTGCATTAAAAGTAGGTTATGAAGTTTTACATTAAAAGTAAGTAATAAAGTTTTACATTATAAGTAAGTTATGAAGTTTTACATTAAAAGTAAGTTATGAAGTTTTACATTAAAAGTAAGTTATAAAGTTTTACATTATAAGTATGTTATAAAGTTGTTAGGAAGTTTTACATTATGAGTAAGTTATGGAGTTTTACATTAAAAATATGTAATGAAGTTTTACATTATAAGTAAGTTATGAAGTTTTACATTAAAAGTAAGTTATAAAGTTTTACATTAAAAGTAGATTATGAAGTTGTTATTAAGTTTTACATTATAAGTAAGTTATGAAGTTGTTAGGAAGTTTTACATTATGAGTAAGTTATGAAGTTTTACATTATGAGTAAGTTATGAAGTTTTACATTAAAAATAAGTAATGAAGTTTTACGTTATAAGTAAGTTATGAAGTTTTACATTATAAGTAAGTTATGAAGTTGTTATGAAGTTTTACATTATAAGTAAGTTATGAAGTTTTTCATTATGATTATGTTTTCCCTTGTAAGTAAGTTACTTAGTTTTACATTAAAAGTAGTTATGAAGTTTTATATAAAAAGTAAGTTATGAAGTTTTACATTATAAGTAAGTTATGAAGTTTTTCATTTTAAGTAAGTTATGAAGTTTTACATTGAAAGTAAGTTATGAAGTTTTATATAAAAAGAAAGTTATGAAGTTTTACGTTATAAGTAAGTTATGAAGTTTTTCATTTTAAGTAAGTTATGAAGTCTGCATTAAAAGTAAGTTATGAAGTTTTACATTAAAAGTAATTTATGAAGTTTTACATTATAAGTAAGTTATAAAGTTTTACATTATAAGTATGTTATGAAGTTTTACATTATAAATAAGTAATGAAGTTTTACATTATAAGTAAGTTATGAAGTTGTTATGAAGTGTTACATTGTAAGTAAGTTATGAAGTTGTTATGAAGTTTTACATTAAAAGTAAGTTATTTAGTTTTACATTATGAGTAAGTTATGAAGTCTACATTAAACGTAAATTATGAAGTTTTACACTATGATTATGTTTTACCTTGTAAGTAAGTTATTTAGTTTTACATTATAAGTAAGTTATTTAGTTTTACATTATAAGTAAATTATGAAGTTTTACCTTGTAAGTAAGTTACTTAGTTTTACATTAAAAGTAGTTTAGGAAGTTTTACATTATAAGTAAGTTATGAAGTTTTACATTATGATTATGTTTTACCTTGTAAGTAAGTTACTTAGTTTTACATTAAAAGTAGTTTAGGAAGTTTTACATTATAAGTAAGTTATGAAGTTTTACATTAAAAGTAGGTTATGAAGTTTTACATTAAAAGTAAGTTATGAAGTTTTACATTACAAGTAAGTTATGAAGTTGTTATGAAGTTTTACATTATAAGTAAGTTATGAAGTTGTTATGAAGTTTTACATTATAAGTAAGTTATGAAGTTTTACATTATAAGTAAGTTGTGAAGTTTTACATTATTTACTTTATAAGTGGTGTGAAGCAGCATCTGCTAACGTCATTTTTAACAATTTTTAAAACTTTGTTTTTTTAATAGGTTTTTTTCTCAAAGTATATGTTAGAATACATCAAATTGAAGCAGTTTTATTTTAATTGCAACAGTTGTCCCTCCCATTAATTCTGTCTGCCTCATTTTTGTACCCCCAGTACCTAATGACACGTCTCATGTGTTGAATCTCATGTCTCATGTGTTGAATCTCATGTGTTGAATCTCATGACTCATGTGTTGAATCTCGTTTGTTGAATCTCATGTGATGAATCATTATGATATACGTATATATAAATGTGTAATGACATGTATATACAACTTCTTATCAATCTATTACTGTATTTTTGTAGGCACGAGATATTGCCAATCAGAAGAAGAAAGAAAGGGAGAAAACTCAAGATAAGAATTAGTTCTGTTAAATTATGGAATGTTTTTGTGGTTGAGTTACTGGCATTATTGTTTGTTTTGTTCATTGTTTTCATGGTGGTGGGAGAGTTTTACAAATTAACAAACCAACATTTTTTGTCAGCGAGAATGGTGTGTAAAAATGTTCTGCTATGGAATTTTGTGACTGAATTGAATCTAGAAAAGTTGATTGCAATAACGAGAAAGAAACGTTTTTATATTACAAGGACACCAACTTAGGTTATTAAGGATCCTTTGTACCAGCTGGTCCTTGATCAATCATCAATATTTAACAAGGATAACAAATTAGGCTGAGGACCGCCAGCTCGACGTGATCAATCATTCATGTTTTACAAGGATAACAAATTGGATACTTAAGGACTACCAGTTGGTCCTTGATCAAACATTTATTGTATACAATGACATCTTAGGAGGTTCTGGACTATCCTTTCTATCAGCTGATCTTTGAAAAAAGATTTATTGTATTGAAGGACACCTAAGGAGGTTCTGGACAATCCTTTCTATCAGCTGATCCTTGAAAAAACATTTATTGTATAAAAGGACACCTAAGGAGGTTCTAGACGATCCTTTCTGTCAGTTGATTTTTAAAAAAACATATATCGTATTAAGGGACACCTAAGGAGGTTCTAGACAAGCCTTTCTATCAGCTGATCCTTGAAAAATCATTTATTGTAATAAAGGACACCTTAGGAGGTTCTAGACGACTTCCTATCAGCTGATCCTTGAAAAAAAATTTCTTATAATAAAGGACACCTTAGGAGGTTCTGGACAATCCTTTCTATCAGCTGATCCTTGAAAAAACATTTCTTATAATTAAGGACACCTTAGGAGGTTCTGGACGATCCTTTCTATCAACTGATCCTTGAAAAAACATTTCTTATAATTAAGGACACCTTAGGAGGTTCTGGACGATCCTTTCTATCAACTGATCCTTGAAAAAACATTTATTGTAATAAAGGACACCTAAGGAGGTTTTGGACGATCCTTTCTATCACCTGATCCTTGAAAAAAAATTTACTTTATACAAGGATACCTTAAGTTCTTGAGGATACTACTTCCTAGCCGATTCTTGCTATAATGTCTATACACATTTACAGCTGGGTGGGCCGAAATAATGCAGAAAAAAAAATTCTTCCCTATTATACAAATATTTGGATTCTCATGGATACTGTCGATATACTGCTTCTAGCCAAACCTCTTGACATTGATAACTGATAATCCATAACCAATTACAGCTAGATTGGCCATGGAGTCACAATTGTGGTGTTCTTGTTTGTAACACTATCCCACCGCTTTTCATACTTATGTTGTCATGTAAGCATTAAACTTTATTGTTAAACACTGAGTTATAGCCCTTGAATGCTAACTTGAGAAATTATATTTGACTTTCATGAAATACAGGCCCGTAGCGAGACTCGATTGTTCAGAGTAATATATCCGGAGGGGAAAGTGTGTGTTGTTTAGTTGCAGTTATGGAAGTGGTCGGTTGTCAGAATTTTTCCAGGAAGGCAATCTATTTCTTTTTTGGAGGAGGGGATCATTAGCACGTGCTGCAACCCCGGGGCATTAGGTGAGTGTCTCATCCTTGTCAGCCCCTACACTATGGAATGATCAACCAAGGTATTATCTCGATCTCTGCTAAGGGAGCTGCGGCGGCTCAGTGAGTTTGCTCGCTAACTTAAAGGTCTAGGGTTCAATCCCGGCATATGTCGAGATAATACCTTCGGATTTTTCAACCCGGTTTCCCCCCTGTCAGTGATGCAGATACTGACATCAGATGCTGACATGGAAAAGGCGTCTAGTCGTTCGGATGGATCTATAAACCGAGGCCCCATGTGCCATAGGCTGTGCACGTTAAAGATCCCTCGACAGTTGGAAATCGAAAAAGAGCAGGCTGATGCCGCTGTCCTGGCAAAATTTCCCCCATTGTACCCTGTATGGCGTTGCCCGTCTTCATTAGCCCACATGGTGCAGAAAAGTAGGACGTAAAACTCATTCATTTCATTTGAACTATTCAAACATACTGCATCGTGGTAGTACTGGAAAAAGTTGGGGGATAAAGACTTTTGACTGTTGTGTACAGCGACAAAGGTTAAGAAATATCTATTTATTATGCCCTTCATCAAACTTTTGATTGCTCCCCCTTGGTGGTTTCTTCTTCACAGTATACGATAGAGTACTCCTCAGTTATATCCTTCTCAGGTCGTCTGGCCAGCGGTTCTAGCGCCAAAACAACCCCGCCACATATAAGGCAGGCACCAATCAGCTGAAAGCACGAGGTGTATGTATTCGTCAAATCTTTAAGGCTCCCTGAAAAATCCCGAAAACCTATATTAGAGCTACAGTAATTGCGATTAACAGGCGTGAGTAGTTTGAATAACATTCAAAGGCTCGAGTTCTTTGACCATTAAGCTAAGATTCCATATACGCGTCATGCGGACATAAATGGCCCTTGCGGATCCGTCATGCGTCAAATATGATTCCATATGTGCATTAAACATATGCGTTATCTTTCTTTTGACGCACGGGCCTCTAGACAGATGGATGCTTTGGTGCCTTTAAAAGACAGGGAATCCCCACAAAATACGTCACATTTTGGGAGATCTCCGCGCGGAAAGGCGTCCGGATGCGTCAAAAATCGCTACACCCGGCGATTTCTTTTTTTTTGACGCATGACGGAGACCATTTGACGGATACCACTTCCGCATACACATATGGAATGATACCCTCTTAAACCAACCATTTCGATTTTTAACGCATGACGAATCCGCATGACGCTTATATGGAATCTTAGTTTAAGACTCTAATTTAGGTAGGCTATTATACAGTCAAACAGACGTCTGGATTTATATTCCAAAAAGTGCGTACGTAGACAAAGTCTTTAGCTTTTTAAGCCGCAAAAGCGAATATTTAAACTACTATATACCTTTTAAGTGATACTACGTCTTAGAATAAACATAAAATTTTAATTCTTAAGAATGGTCAATATGAGTATATATTCATCAGTGAACTTATCTGGTGTCATAAAGTTACAATAGAATCTAGAAAATTGGAAAATTCATTTAACTAAGTGATTATTGAAAAACGCTTAATCATAATATTAAGCGTTTTTCAATAGTTAATTGCATATTTATGGATAATTACTAAGTTTTTTGGATTTATCGGATTATATAAGGATCCTGTTATGTTATTTATGACACCAGGTATATCGACTGATGAATAAATGCTCTTATTGGCCAAGTTTACAATTTTTAAATTGTTTGTTTATCCTAAAACGTTGTATCCCTTTAATGATTGCATAGATTATTATTATTGTGAAAATCAGTTCTATTGACAAAAGCAAAATAAAACTCGACTTTACGTTCTGTTGTATGGGAATCACAACGTCAATGAAGGTGTACAATGATACTATATTTCGACACGTCTGCACGTCTTTAGAGAGTCTACATTATTTAACATAACTTAACGCATACAATGTGGGGCGTATATTGTCGTTGCCAATGCCTTTATGTCGTATAGACGTTTGAATGACCTCGTATAACTTACCTATAATTGGATAAAACGTCAGTGAGCATGCTCCACTGAAAATCTGCACAAATCCAAAGACTTTAGCAAATTGCTCATAACCCACCAAATCTATCACAACTTCACCGAGTAAAGAAAAGAATGTACCATTTAAAACCCCGAAAACACAGGCCATAGCCATGAGTGATACAAAAGTACGATAATATGACACAAATTCGAACATTATCCCGAGCATTACTAGGGAAAATATGCATATATATTGACCTTTAATGAGTTGAAATTGTATAATAAATGCTGCTACCACACGGAATATTATATCTAGCAATCCGATCACAGTGAGCAGTAGGGAGGCCTGATAGTCGCTTAATCCTCTCTCTATGGCCAACGCCGGAATGAAACTCTCAGCCGATAGGATTCCCGTTCTCGATATCGGCCAATAACCCACCAAAATCCAAAACATGGGCGTTTTGAACAGGCTTAAGTCTAAAAGTTTCTTAAATTTCGAGAACAGTTTTTCTTGTTTGCTTTCTGGTTGAGGTGGAAAATTTTGAACGGACGTCACGACCAGGTCCACGAGACTTGGACTGCTGGTATAAATGTTTTGGTGTGATCTCGTTCTGGTGTGAGCGTGCGGATGCAGATGTCCGACAGAATGCAACGACAGCATTGACATGGCTGGTGAACTGGCATTTGATAACTGTAAAATTCGTTTGTGTTGAGGCAATGCATAGATGTTATTTTCGGAAGAATGAATATTTTGATGCGCTGCTTGGAGGTCATGGCCTAACGATTGCTGTAATCGTTTTCTGAAATCGTCATGGCTGCACGATTCTTTTATGTTGATCGTGTCTGTTGAAAGTCTGATTACATGGCCGTTCAACATTGTTTCCTTTGATTCGGGCTCGGTGTCGTCCACGCTTTGGTTTCTCGATGCAGACTTCTCTGGGTCTCTGTACAGTGCAGCACACACAATGGCTTGAGCCATGACCCCACCCAATATCAACTGCGTTCCACGTAATCCATAATTGTCTAAGAGATGGGTGGTGATTTGGGGCATCAACATGACTCCAGCACTAACCCCTGCGTTAGAAATGGCCATGGCGAATCCTTGTCGTTTCTTAAAATTTCGTCCCAGGAGTACCATACTAGGTCCAAATGAACAACCATGTCCAATACCTAAAAAAAAGTAAACCGAAGTTTTACTTCCTACATTCTTCGTATGGCTAATTAAATGGTTGAAAAGTAGTTATACGCCCAAATTCAATTTTCTGCTCTGATTTACCTGATGAAATTGTCCTGTACATGTCTGATCCATATGCGATGGAAATCTACATGTATCGTGAAAAATGTTCTGGAAATAAAATGGGTTGGGCTGGTTTAGATGAACTGTTTCGGACAATGCATTGATATAACAAGTTCAAATATAGTCTGTTTTAAAAGTAAGAATATCGACACCCGTTTTTGGCCAATTATCCGCTGTTGAACGTTAAAATAACTCGTCTTTTTTTGAGACTCTGCCATATATACAGAAAATACATAGAAATAGAAAGAAAAATCCCTAGTTTAAGAGCTTTTTCTAAGGATTTTTGCGACTTATGTACCTAATACTCCTGAAGACGATTTTTACATATTGAAGACCCAAATCAACCTTCGAAAGTGGCAAACCTGTTTTGCACTGTTTTGCACTTTAAAAGCGGAAACAAATATATACTGGAAAGAACCAACTCAAACTAGTTTAACCAGTTTCAATGAATAAGCAAAAATACAAAACGAGGTTATGGTTAAAGGAATACTACCCCTTAGGATTACCAACAAATTTAAGTTTTTAAACTCGACCAGAAAGAGTCTAAATTCACCAGCGGACGTTGTATTTGGAGTCATAACTATACAACAGAATTCCTCTACAATCTCATTCATAAAACTATGTAATTATCCATAAAACTTTAGGTAAATATTGTTAATGCGCTTTTCAATTATCACCTTATGGTGTTATGGATTTGGTTTACCAAACAAGTCACTCTGTTGTAAAGTTATGAAGCGTGGGTTTAACTTTTTCTTTACTGAGCTAACCGCTCTCATATAATGTTTCGATTCTTAAAGATGGGTTTCCTGTTTCCTTATTTTTAGTGTCAAATTAAGCAAACTATTTGATTAATTGGTGTTTCTAATGAATTATCATGTATTCTTAATCATATCATTATGTTCTTATTGCATATAATTAAGAGTTTAAACCAATCATAAATGTCCATGTATGTACAGTCTGGATAAACAATAAACAAAACAAGAAGACTTTTTGACCTTTCTTGATCGATCAATCATTGAAATTCTGCTGGTATCCCTTCTACTTTCTATTCATATAAGTATTAGCATTTTCATTTTCATAAATAAAAATAAGGGAACCCATCTTTAAGTATATTTAGATGAATCGTGGCGTGATAATAGGTTAGAAAATCAGAATGGCGCAAGTACGAGTGTCCTTGATACACATACAAAGGATAGAAAATCAGAATGTTGTAAATAGAAGCTATAAGTGTCTCTGATACACATATAAAGACTAGAAAATCAGAATGATGTAAATAGAAGCTATAAAGTGTCTAATACACATACAAAGACTAGAAAATCAGAATGGTGTAAATAGAAGCTATAAGTGTCTAATACACATACAAAGACTAGAAAATCAGAATGGTGTAAATAGAAGCTATAAGTGTCTAATACACATATAAAGACTAGAAAATCAGAATGGTGTAAATAGAAGCTATAAATATTCCTGATACACATACAAAGACTAGAAAATCAGAATGGTGTAAATAGAAGCTATAAGTGTCCCTGATACACATACAAAGACTAGAAAATCAGAATGGTGTAAATAGAAGCTATAAGTGTCTAATACACATACAAAGACTAGAAAATCAGAATGGTGTAAATAGAAGCAATAAGTGTCCCTGATATACATACAAAGACTAGAAAATCAGAATGGTGTAAATAGAAGCTATAAGTGTCCCTGATACATATATAAAGACTAGAAAATCAGAATGGTGTAAATAGAAGCTATAAGTGTCCCTGATACACATAAATAATCTTCAGAAACGGAAGGCTTAAAACTTGATTGAATAACATTGTGGACCACAAAACTTACCAACTAAACAGCTCTGAGAAAAGATGATGAATTCCACGCTCATAGCTAAAGCACTGATAGAAACTCCAATTGCACATATGGCTGCTCCAAACATTGCAAATTTCCGAATACTGCAGTAGTCCAATAATATACCCATCACCATTAAAGCTGTAATGAAAGCATGAAAAGAATATTGAAACTGCTGAGATAATAATACAGCTGCTGAGATAATAATACAGCTGCTGAGATAATAATACAGCTGCTGAGATAATAATACAGCTGCTGAGATAATAATACAGCTGCTGAGATAATAATACAGCTGCTGAGATGATAATACAACTGCTGAGATAATAATACAGCTGCTGAGATAATAATACAGCTGCAATGAAACATCAATAATGATTACACATCAGAAAGACGTACATTTTGTACCTTTAAAGCTGCAATGAAACATCAATAATGATTACACATCAGAAAGACGTACATTTCGTACCTTTAAAGCTGCAATGAAACATCAATAATGATTACACATCAGAAAGACGTACATTTTGTACCTTTAAAGCTGCAATGAAACATCAATAATGATTACACATCAGAAAGACGTACATTTTGTACCTTTAAAGCTGCAATGAAACATCAATAATGATTACACATCAGAAAGACGTACATTTTGTACCTTTAAAGCTGCAATGAAACATCAATAATGATTACACATCAGAAAGACGTACATTTCGTACCTTTAAAGCTGCAATGAAACAAGGATTAGTAAAACGTATTTTTCAGCTTTAGATCTGCCATGAAAGAACGAAAAGAGACTAAAACTACATAGGAAGTACAGTCTGTTCCATTAAAGCTGCCATAAAGCCAAGAAAGGGCGTCTTAAGCCCTGAAGAAAAGAAATTTTGGAATTAAAGCTGCAGTGAAAAACAAAAAAAAAGTCCCAATCAAAATTAATCCCTTTTTTTTTCACCAAAAAATAGAAGCTGCTATGAATCCAAGAGAAATGGGTATTTAAAGTGATACTACGTCTTAGAATGAACATAAAATTTAAAGATTTTAAACGTGGCCAATAAGAGCCAGTAGATATACCTGGTGTCATAAATAACATAACAGGATCGTTACACAATCCGATAAATCCAAAAAACTTAATAAATATGCAATTAGCTATTGAAAAACGCTTAATATCAAGATTAAGCGTTTTTCAATAATTACTTAGTTTTATGAGTTTTCCAATTTTCCAGATTTTACAGGGATTCTGTTGTAACTTTATGACACCAGGTAAGTTAACTGATGAATATATACTCATATTGACCATTTCGAGAACTTTAATTTTATGTTCGTTCTAAGACATAGTATCACTTCAAGGTCTGAAAAAATAGATGTTCTCTGTTATTAAAACTTTGTAAGAAATAAGTCATTGGTGTAATCCGAAGTAATATATTATTTTGTAATATTAAGCTATATGAGTATATATACATATATACATGTATACTAAACTATTTATCAGTAACGACAACCATATTTTGAAATCTTATTTTGGACCATTCATGGTGCAATGAAATAAGGAATAAATAGAAAATAAATCATGTTAACCTATAGGAACAATACCATGTACCATTAAAGCCAACATGTAGCAATAGAAAATAAAATGAAATAAATGTGGTTTTATGTCCTGCAAAACAATGGAAAGCCCAATCAGCTGGTGATGTAAACATTTAGACAGCTATAAACATCAGAAAGTAGACTCTATCAACTAGTTCAGTTTAAATTTTACTCAAATCAGCTGGTTAAGTAAATATTTACTTACTTCACATACATCTGAAATTAGACTCTATCAGCTAGTAAAGTAAAGTATACAAACAGTTGAAATTGAGCTCTATCCGCTAGTAAAGTAAATATTTAGACTACTATACATACATCTGAAATTTGACTCTATCAGCTAGTAAAGTAAAGTATACAAACAGTTGAAATTGAGCTCTATCCGCTAGTAAAGTAAATATTTAGACTACTATACATACATCTGAAATTTGACTCTATCAGCTAGTAAAGTAAAGTATACAAACAGTTGAAATTGAGCTCTATCCGCTAGTAAAGTAAATATTTAGACTACTGTACATACATCTGAAATTTGACTCTATCAGCTAGTAAAGTAAAGTATACAAACAGTTGAAATTGAGCTCTATCCGCTAGTAAAGTAAATATTTAGACTACTGTACATACATCTGAAATTTGACTCTATCAGCTAGTAAAGTAAAGTATACAAACAGTTGAAATTGAGCTCTATCCGCTAGTAAAGTAAATATTTAGACTACTGTACATACATCTGACATTGGACTCTATCAGCTAGTTAAGTAAAGTATACAAACAGTCGAAATTCAGCTCTATCCGCTAGTAAAGTA